CAATAAAAAAATGCCAGAAATTAAGGGTTATTAAAGCCTTGCATGTTTTTGCATATATCTACCGCTAGCAAGCAAAGCTCATTGATCTCCGTGACACCGATGTGAACAGCCTATAGCTGCGTGAATAGAGGAAGAGCCATAAAGTACAGTCGGCATCCTCCGCTCTTCTCTTTTTTTGGGGGGATTACCATTTTTTTTTCTCTCTTTTAGCTGCTTTTGTTACACTATAAGGCAAGTCAGGATATCCAGGATAACAATGGGAACACACCTCTGCATCTGGCCTGCACATACGGACATGAAGATGTAAGTTTTGCTGGAAAATCACACTTTTCATAATAAAAATGTTTAAAGTGAACCGGTGCTTTCCCCTGTATACACCCCTTCATTACCAGGACATTTTTCAGTGATGTGATCGTTTGACTGACAATTACTCGGTCATGCAACACTAAACCCAAATATATTTTATACAATTCTTTTGGCCAAGCTTTCTTTTGGTTTTATTTAAAAACCAGTGTTTCTAATAATTTTTACTATATAATGGAAAAAGACCAAACTTTTCAGATTGCTTAAATGTACCTTTTTTTTTTTTATTTGTTTACCTTTAAAAAAAAAAAAAGATTCCATAAGTATTTGGTGATCAGTGGCCCTTTAAAGCCTGCCTGACCGTTAAAAAATGAACAAACTCACAATCATTGGTGGTCATTGGCACTTTAAACCTCACCCAATGTTAAAAAAGCAAACCAATCCACAATCAATTGTGGTCATTGGCACCCCACCGTAAAAAAACAAAAAAACAATGCTACAATTATTGATGGTTGTGGGCACTTTAACCCCAACCTCCCCTCCCTCCAAAAAAAGTTTAAAATCATTGATGGTTAGCAGTGCTATAAATCCTCCCACCTTCACCTTTGATCTGCTGTAGCCCCCCTTCCTGCTGTGTTTACAGGCATTCGATCCATTCACAATGAAGGGAGGGGAGCTTTCTCTGTTGTTAATGGGCTGAATGTTTGTCAACACTGGCAATGTTTACACTTCTGATGGCTGTGATTGGTTCACGCTGATCACAAGGTAAAGAGCCACTCTGAATAACAGCACAATCACAACCGCCCGTTTATTTTCTGGAGGACTGTTTATATACGGCCCTCCAGAAAATAATGTCCACCCCCTCCCACAATTTTTTTTTTTTTGTACAATATGGGGGTATTGAGGTGGTTAAAGTGGGCTCCCACAGCAGCTTCTCTTTTCATTACTTTTCCTTTTGGTAAGGGGAGACCAACGCAGCGTGTTTTTTCCCATTGATCCTTGCTGGAGCTTAAAGGTCTCTTTCTCAAGTCACAGCACCTTCAATGTCCAAGCACCTTTGCTGTCGTGTGTGGGAGGGAGGGGGTGGAGTTGCATCACATGCTCCCCCATTCCGGTGTTCCCCCTTCGCAATGGGATGAGTGAAGGGAAGGTTAATAAGTGCTGCTTATAGGGACAATTAATGTGCATTGTGACTGTTCCTATAAAACTCGCCAGCCTGTGTCGGCGGTGCCGTCTCTTCTTCCAGTGTGTGAAGGCTTTAGTCTACTGTGACGTGAACCTGTGCAGAATGGACTGTGTGAATGAGAAGGGGGACACGGCTCTGCACATCGCTGCCCGCTGGGGGTATCAGGGGATTATCGAAGTCTTACTACAGAATGGAGCCAGCACCAGCATCCCAAACAGGAGGAAGGAGACCCCTCTGCAGTGTGCACTGAACTCCAAGGTAATAGATCACACCAGGTATGGAAGTCTCTGCTGCTGGTAAAGTACATGTAAACTGGAATATTGATCTTCTCTAATTTGCTCCCTTTTGGTCTTTTAAGTAAACCATTGAACAAGTTCTGTTGTATCCGTTCAATAAATGTTAATAATACCCGTTGATCTTGCCAAAAATTGTGTAAGCTGATGACGTCCTGTGCTGAACTGCAGCCTTCTATTCAGTCTTGCGCATTTGTACCGGCTCCTCTCCTGGACTGAAATGTCTTCCTCTGATATCACTGCACACTGGAAGCTTCTCACGATGTACATTAGAAGCTGCAGCAAGTCAGATAGAGCACGCCTCATTTCCTGGCTTTCCTCCTCATCCTGACTGTCCCTGGCCTATCCCTTTCATTCATTGGATTGCAGAGCTTTCAAAAAAAGCGAAGGTCCGGCATCGCATGTGGGCAGTGCCTAGGGTGGTCCGCATGCAAATACAGCCTGCCTAGGAACGGCCACTTCTCCAGACCGACATCCACCCATTAAGGCATATTGAAATTTGCATAACTCCTCCCAAGAGCCGGCCCACTGCTTGCATCAAAGCTGAGATCTGTGCTGTGGTTTTTATTATTATACAAGATTTATTTAACGCCAAGTTTGCGCAGCACTTTTTTGTTTTTAGGAAGCTATGTACAGCTGTAAAACGTGCATGTCTGTGCAGAAACTTAGCCCTCGTTCACACCTAGGCGTATTGCAAAAGTGCGTCTGTCGCGCGACCCCGAAGGCTACTTGGCTGTATTCCAATGGAAAACGCCCTACAAAACGCCCTACAAAACGGCCCAAAGTAGTACCTGTACCTTTTCAGGCGTGGGCCGTTTTGTAGCGCGTTCGGGACGGGCGGAAATACGGCAAGGTGGGAACGAGTCCATTGACTCCAATGCAATTTATATTTTTGAACGTTTTGTAGAGCGTTCGTCGAGCTTAGAACGCGCTACAAAACGTTCAGGTGTGAACGAGGGCTTACACCCAGGAGGGGCATCTGGTGCATCCCCTGTACAACTCTGACGCTGCTACATTCCCACCTGGAGCTGTACAGATGCATGCTCCAGAAAGCAGGCACTCTGAGGCGTGCATTCGTACTTGAGGCTTCGGCTTGAGTTTCAGGAGTCATGGGTCACTTGAAATCTGGCAGCTGCCTTGTAAATTGCTTGACTCAACACACTGTCTCCCAGCTCCTGAGATTGCGTACTCTACTGTTTTTGTCATAGATTCTGTCCATCATGGAGACGGTTCACACTGACATCAGTAAGAGGCCGAG